CACACAAAATAATTTATTACAATTTTTGTCTGAATGCTCTTTACAGCTCTCCAGGTGATTGGTGGAGATGTGACAGTGGTTCAAGGAGGTACGGCCATCTTACCATGCCATGTCATTGATACCAATGATGACTTGACACAGATTACCTGGCAGAGGAAGACGAGAGAAAAACCTCACAATGACAATTTCCTAACTATCTTACCCAGAGATGGAGCACAGTTTGTAAATGGCCGTGATGATCGTTTTAAATATATTGGGAATTTTAACAGCAAAAATGGAACTCTCCAGTTATCCAATGTTACCTTGAAGGATGAAGGCAGCTACACGTGCATCTTCACATTGTTTCCCAGTGGAAATCAAAAGACTCAGATACCACTAAATTTGCTTGGTACACTAAACTTTTTGTTATCTTTGTTTTAAAATAATCTTGTGTTTGTATGTGAGACATAATTATTTTCACCATCCTGCTTGCATGTTGATTGATTTGTGTGCTGTAAATCTCCTAGTACCTCCTTTCACAAACATCAAGGACAATCTTCCCACTTTGGGCACAGAAGAGGTTTTATTTGCTACCTGCACGGCTGCTGGATCGAAGCCTCCTGCAGAGGTGAGGTGGCTCACTGGTGCTTTGGCAGACAAAGTGAGGACGACAACAAACTCCACACAGTATGACAACGGGACAACTACCACAGTCAGCTCTCTGTTTGGTGTTCCTACGAGAGAAATGAATGGTCACCAGGCCCAGTGTGCCATCAGTGGTGACTCACTGTCTAAAAACGAAACCCTGCCCTTCACCATACAGGTCTACTGTGAGTATCAGCTGCTCATGTAGTTTATTATTTGTTTTTATCCATGGTTGATGGATTTGTTATATTTTTTCTTGGAAATCTCTGCAAAGTTTCCTAGTGGATTAGCCAGTGGACACAACTGTGGCAATGCATGAGACTCTGTTAGTGAAACGATTGTACAGTTTATATGCTAAAGACAACATTTCTACAGCTCTACTGAGGGACTGATAGATATGATCTGTTTCTGAATTCTGAAATCGTTAAAAGCTTTATGTGTAGTAAAGACAAAACATCCCATGTACCAAACTTTGGTTTGACTCCTTACATCATTAAATGATGTAAACAGAGGCAGTTTTACATTGATAATTGACAAAACCCTCAAGGAAATGACTACAACTAAGAAAGTGGACCTAAATGTTTGTCGCTGGAAAGAGGATCGAGTCCAATCCAGATACTTTGTTTTGTGTTTCCTCTTTGTTCTGGAGTTTGTGCTTCTTTTGTTTTTTAAATGAATGGGAGTGAAACATCCCAAATCTCATGACTTTGCCTCCTGTTTGTCACACAGTAGCATGTTGTCACAATAGATGGGAAAATACTTTCTGAAAGACAAAAACTTCTAGACTGATTAAAAAAAGAGCATTGTTATTGCTAAAGACTGAATCATGGCCTGAACCACACAACATCAGCCTCAGTACCATAAGTTTGTCGAGTTCGGATCGAAGATGTAGGAGACAGAGGCAAAACATTATTTTCATGTTATTTGTCTTTCTGCTCTTGCAGTCTCTCCCACAGAAGTGAACATTAGAGCAAGTTCTGAGGACTCATTTGAGTGTGTGACAGAAGCCAACCCAAGTGCAAATTTTACATGGAGCAGGTAAAGTAGCTTGAATAACAGTTTCAGCTGAAACATTCATTTCATTGGTTCGTTTTGTTTGTCCTAAGTGACCTTGCTGAGCCATGAAAAAGAAAGAGCGGTATAGAGTGTTTTATATGATTTACTAAGTTTGTGAGGTTTTGTTCATATATAATTTCTCAAATTTCATTCCCAGTAGTCCTATCTGAACTAGCATAGCAGAATTGGATGTTGAGTAAAGTCAGTCATATGTCAAAAGAATGACTGATGACTCATGGTGAGACATCAATCATATGTCTAAACTTCAAATATTTTTACTCCATGAGTGTTGGTCATATTTTAGTGAAATACACACATGATTATTATGTAATGGGTCCTCACTCAAACTGGGTCATATGTGACCAAAAGCGTAACATACTGACAATTTGTCACATAGCATAAAATGTTATGCTTTGGGATGAGAACATGTTGGTTCACAAGAATCACTGCTGGTTTGGGACTCTTTTTCAATTCTCAGTGGATTCTAATAGTCATTCGTTTTTACAATAAAGCCAAGCAGAGCCAACAGAACTTATCACTTTGTTTCTGTACTTCAGCATTACACAAACGGATAATGATCCAGATGAGCTACTACATCACAGACACTCTCGTTAAGTAGATGTTATAATAAATCGTGGTTGGTTCCTCACATAACAATGAATAAAACTGAAAGAAATGTTGTAGCCTACTCAAATGGAAAAGCTCACATAGTAAATAAAGTATCAAATTCAGTCATTTGGAAAGATTTCAGTGTCCCGTGACTATTGATGATAATGTTTTTGATGTTTTTTTATACAGTCCCTTCAACCACTTGTTACTTATTTATTCAACATAAACAAAAATATGTACACTCCTAGCTTCGCAGGCAATAATGACTGCTGTCATGCAGTTCTTAAAATGCTTTAATTCAAAGGTATTTGCTGTTACACAGTGGTAAATCTTTGCTGGTTGCATAGTGGCAGGTTTCTGTTTGATTGTTCTTCAGTTGCCTGGTAAAAGCCGCTGAGCACATTATTTGAATGCATGCCCTTTATAACCCTGTCACCTGGATACTGAAAGCACTTAATTTCTCTCTCTCCTTCCCCTACATTTTCTCTCACTCCCTGCTGCTCCTTGATTTCCCCAAACAGCATATTTGCTTACTCAGGTGCTGACAAGGCTCACTCAGTAATTACCCTTCACACACTGTAAAAGTAATGTGAAGGTCACTTGCAACAGTTGTTGATTGTTTATCTCTTAATCTTTTCTCTGCTTTCTTGTGTGAGACACAACCCAAAAAATGGAGAGACCAAGTGTTTTGACAGTTTCTGGTTTTTGGAAGCAGTTTGAATTTTGCTGCTGCTGGCGAGTAGTTTGGACCTGTGGGCTACAAAAGCGCATCTGGTTGTTGGTTGTCCAGGAGGACACAAATGCCTTGGGGTGCATTTGTGTCAGGAAGGCTATCTGCTGTATAAATCTTCTCCATCAAACATGCTGAGCTACTTACTTTTCTGACCTCATGTGAATAAGAGAGCAGCTAAAAGTAGCTGCTGTTTTTTTCCCCTAGCACTGTAAATATTTTCACTGACTGAGCTCCTTCCAAAAGATACATTTTGGTTCACGATGGTCAGAGAATTAATGTCGCAAAAACAGTTCTCGGGACTCCATCAGAGCTGAAGACTGGAAAGTGAAGTGGGAGAAATGTTTATTGATTAGGACATAGCCGTTAAAGTGTGGATCCACACTAAGTGAAAAACAATACAACCCCCCCCTGAGAGATGATCTGAGTTCCTCTCAAATCCAAAAAACAAAAGGTGATAATGTTGGTGACCCATATAGATGGCGCCATTGGAGAGATGTGAGATTAGACTAATAATAAGCAGTCATCCAGTCATACTTGTTCTTTAGAGTAGGTTATAGGATGTATTAACAGTTCATATTTAAATGAAATGAAATGAAACAATGGGTCCTAAAATGATACAGTGTGACTCAGCAGTCATTCTTGGCTTCTCTGTCTGTAGTTTACTGCTTATCCATTAGATTCTGTCAGTCTGCCCCAGGGCAGCTGTGGCTACAACTGTAGCTTGCCTCCACCAGTGTGTGAATGTGAGAGTGAATGAATAGTGGTATTGTACAGTGCTTTGAGGTTCTCAAAAAGCGCTATATAAATGCAATCCATTATTATTATTATTATTATTATTATTATTATTATTATAGATGTGAAGAATTCCTGGTAAATGTAGTGTTTATGCATTTAAACAGTTAGGTGTTGTTTTATCTTAAGTGGCTCTTAAGATGCATTAATTCATTCTGAGCCTCTTGAGAGAGCAACCCCATTCTGCTCACGTTTGTAATATAAATTAACAGTGGATTGAGAAGTTTTATCATCTGGCGTCAGAATTTGCTGCTGTTTAGATGTGGCCTGTTAAATCCTCATATCAATGCTCCACAAAAGATGATAAAAAACATCAAAATCTTGTGAGTTACAAATTGACGTACAGGATGCTAAACAGGGAGTTAGCTGGGCTGTTCTCCAGAGTAGTGTGGTTTGAAATCTTACTAAAATGAAGCTTGTTTTCACACAAAAATAATTGAACATGTTAAGTGGGAGGTATTTTTGTATTTAGGTGAAAATTTAAAAAAATACAAAATCTTGTTGTGGGCAAGAAAAGATCTATTGCAAAGAGCTGATAACCAAAATGTGTTTGACTTTTAGCACAACTCACACTTTTCTGCTCTTTCTGTACATTTCATGTTGAGTCTCTTTCATGTTTTTCCAGATCTGGCCAGTCTTTGCTGCAGTCTGCTGTCAAAGTAGACGGTGCAAAGCTACAACTGCTGAGTCTGAGCTCTGATCTAAATGGCCTCTATCAGTGTGAAGCGTCTAACACATATGGAAGTAAACACGGTCAGCTTTATGTGCGTGTGGCGTCAGGTGAGGTCAGCTTGGATATCTGTTTCTGATTTTTGGATTTGTGCTTTTGTGGCTGTTGTGTCATTCTGATATTACTCTGTTTTCTTTTCTGTGCACTTCTATGAGGAAAATAAATAGAAACTTGAACATCTAAGCTAAAAGTGAAATGATGGACTCTACCTATGTATGTATTCCACTAATCTTTAGTAAGAAGCTATCTTAAAGAAGTGCTTCCTTTAATCTGTAGCATCATCCTCTGTTATACCAACCGTCTGCATGTCCTCCTTCACTACATCCGTGCACCACCTCTGTGGTCTTTTGCTTTTCCTCCTGCCTGACAGCTCCATCTTCAGCATTCTTTGTCCAGTATGTCCACTATTCCTGCTCTGCACATGTCCAAACTGTCTCAGCCTTGCCTCTCTTTGTCTGCACACCACTTAATCTGAGCTGCAACTCTGATGTACTCATTTCAAATCACCCGTGACGCTCGTCTCCACACACTCGAACCCTCCCTCCCTGCACTCTCTGCTCCATTTCTCTTGTGCACTGTCTGTTGCTTTGGATGGTTGACCCCAGGTATTTAAAATAATTTACCTTCTGTATCTCTGCTCCCTGCATATTCACTGTTACTCTCCATTCACGCACATGTTCTGCTGACTTAAGTTCTTTTCACAATAATCCGATGCACTTCCAGATTCACTAGCTGTTCTTGGTCTCCAGCTTCACACTCAGCTCAACTATAAACCTTTTTCTTTTGCCACCTCTCTCTTTGCTGAATTTCATTGTACAGAGAAATGCTTTTCTTTGTACACATGACAATAAACATTTTGAATCTTGAACCCAGAGCCTGTCTTAATTCCACCCTGAATTCTGCATATTTTTTCCTTCTTCAGCTTCCACCGTGTGATCCTTGCCTCTGTTTTCACTCACTTGCTCTACTTGACCTCCAGAGTCATCCAACAGACTACCATGCAATGCTTGGTAGTCAGTGTGTGTGAATGTGAGAGTGAATGAATAGTGGTATTGTACAGCGCTTTGAGGTTCTCAAAAAGCGCTATATAAATGCAATCCATTATTATTATTATTATTATTATTATTATTATTATTATTATTATTATTATTCCTAGCTGCGCTCCTCCCTGACACTACTTTACAGTCTCCTACATAAAATATAATCCCCCTGTGTGGATCTTCCCCCACTCATAGGTCAGCCTGTGTTCCTCTGTCTTCCAAAAATAAGTGTTCAACACCTTTTCACTGAATCCAGAATCATCTGTCCTCCAATTTTCTCCTTTACTCTCTCTTTACATTGTATTAAACTGCTCTCTTCGTTTGCATATAGTCCCTATATTTAAAGTCTCACCTTCATACCCCTATCTTTGCTTCTCTCTTGCTGACTTCAAATACCCCTATCCCTTACCACTTTTGCCACTTCTTTTATGGTTGGCCATCAGTATCACAGTTTCTACCAGCATCCTGTTGGCCAAAAGCCAAAAAGCCAAAAGTCATTGTAAACCTTCATTATAAACACAGCCACCCACTGATCCAGTGTGGAAATCTCATTCTTTGTGAGCCACGTGCTTGACTTGTGTTGAGTGGATTATGTTTCCTTATTGTCTCAGTCTTATGAATTAAGTTTGTAATAAAAAACTAAATGTCATAAAAGTGGGAAAGAACAATCATCTCATTCTCATGTTCTTCATTTCTGTGTCCCTGTAGGAGCATGCTCTGCTGCTTGGGCCTTATTTGGTGTTTTGCTTTTCCTGAATGTTGTTGGGGCTGCAGCATGGTACTTTTATAAACATGGATGTTTTCAAAGGTATTTCATATATTAACTTGCATGTATCTAATATCTAGAATAATATGTAGTACTTCTCATTTTAAAGCTTATGTACCTCTAGAGACCTCTACAGGCTGCCATTAGGAATCAGGATGAAATCCTTGAACACATTGTCAGGCCCTACGCTGGTTCGGTTGATCCTGGTTTCCTCCTCTTGTACAATAATGCCTGACCATAATAGGCAAGAATATGCAGGCAGATGAAAGAATTGGTACTAATCACCCAAACCCCTTTGATTTTCAGGGTAGCTTTGAATTCAGCCCTCTGTAGGTAGATCATTTTCATTTCTATTAAACAATGTGGCATCCATTTGTTCCTTACACATTACCCAGTCCATATCAGTATAGATATCCAGATGATTTTTTTTCCCAGTATTACGAGGGGCCAAGTCACATTTTTGTTACATTCTGTGAAAAGCAAAGTGCATTAGTTAGCTTGGTGCAATAGAAAGACAAAACGTTCTCTCCACCTGTCCAGCACATCCTCCTCATTGTCTAGGTTAACAGACTGTAGGTAGCTCAGAGGCCATAGTTGCTAATCTTAGTAGGGGAACTGTCATGTGTGGTACCCTCAGTGGTCCTGAAGAAGCGGTCTTTGGTCCAATAAGAATGCATTTGTGTTAGTCTACCCCAATTGAACCGCATCCTACATGGCGTTTCCTGGCTTTATAAAAGTGAATCCCTGGAAAAATATATTGTAACTGAAGACAGATGCAGTAAAAAGACTCACTGCCTGCAAAGTATTCGGCAAAGTATTCAGACTTTATTTATGATTGAAGGTAATACAGAAGTTTTGTTCAAATCCTTCAGTTGCAGCTGAGTCTGCAATTAAATTGTACCTTTATTGTTTTATTTCAAATCTACTGTTCTGATGTACAGAGGCTAAATTTTAAAAGTTGATTTAATGTCCACAAATTTGCAGCCTAAATGAATACTGTGTCACTATTTTGTACAGTAGGAGGTCTTTAAACCAACATGGTGGCAAGCAGCATGACACAAAACTTCACCGGAGTGTGAGAAACGATGATCACGGACCAGAGGAAGAAGACCTACAGAGAGA